ATTCCATTGGCAGGTCATCTTATTTACCTGCTCAAATTAAGGGTAAATACACTTAATTCAAGACATTTTTCACTTATTTCTAGATGTTTTTTGCAGTGTAATATATTCGGGCAAGTTGGGATTTCTTGTTATTACATTGACATTAACTTTTGCCATCATAATTTCCATATTTATTGATGTTACAAAAGTAATAAGATCGTGTCCTGGATTCAAAAAATACTATTGGCTTAAAATTTTGATTTTCAAAGTATTTCACTCAGTGCCCTATAAAGGGTTAAATGATCCTGCATTGGACCATTGGTTCCACTGCGTTATGGATAAAGATCAAATAAGGATCCAGGAATAATCCTTATGGGAGTGAAAATCCGTCCAGAGGCTAAAAGAAGAAGAAATATGAATAAAAAAGGTGAAACAACTATTCTCAATGAGCAGAATAGAAATAAAATGATATCAGGCCAAGAAAACTAATACCATAATACAATCTTAGAATCAGGGAATTGCATAAAACCAACCAGTAAATCTAAAAGTGCTGCTCCTGCTTCTAGTTTTAATGCTGGAGGATTTTTTTTATTGCTTATCTGAAGGCGTCTCTGTCAGCAAAGACAAGTTAACCAACGCTATAAAAGGAAAGGAGAAGTTAAAGCAAACGCTGACAACCCAAAGACACGTAGACCAAAAACCATCTTTCAGGTCACCCTGCTGTCTGCAGCCTGAAAGACTGGAAGCCGCCGTCGCTGGAATGCCTTCGCTCTTATGTGCAACATGGAGGGGGTTTTTTATACAGTAGATTTCTACAGATGACACCAACGTCAGCTCAACGGAAAGATGTTGGGCTGCCGGGGGGTCAAAAATAGACGGTTCTTTCACACGTGTTACTCAACAGGAAAGTTACCCAAGAGACCAAACACACATTAACCACTTTATCAGGCCCAGTTCTACTGCTAGCTACCACAAATGGCAAGTCATACAAACATGGCAGGACGTTTTTAGGCGTCCAGATGAGCCAAAAAAGCCTCACTGAAGTTCAGACTGAGCTTCAGAGTGAGAAAGGACTTTTAGAAGTTGTCCGGTTCGTTCTCAGTTTAACAGCAGATGACCTGAAAAGGAAAAAAATGCCGTGTGAGCTGCAGCTGCGGGTTACAGCAGCAAAAAAAAAAAAAAAACCATAGCAGGCACAACTTCTCTGCAAAGAAAAGGAACAAAAGTGACGATTGATGCTGTAGAATTAGTGACACCAGCAAGAGCTGAAGGCAAAAACCGAGTCTGGTTTCAGGAGTCTCCACGTCAGCTCTCTGATGGTCGGGTCATACTTTGGTTTAATCATAAAAATATGCATCAAAAAGCCTTTGTGATTACCATTTCTGCTGCTGGTGGCTCCTTAGAACCTCCTCAGCCAACCTGGGTGCTAGCGTCAGTTTCAGGATAATGGGTCATAGTGGAAAGCTCAGGTCAACTTGCTTTTTTTTTTAATCTATGCTTCTTTTTCTATGTCTGCTTCTGTCTCCTTGAATCCCAGTCGGCCTCAGCAGATGGCCGCTCACGCCGAGCCTTTCTTCCTGTTCAAAGGGAGTTTTTCCTCTCCACTGTCGCTAAAAGCATGCTTAGTGTGAGTGATTGCTGAAGAGTCAATAACCGTATAACGTCAACCTCAGCCCTAGTACTGTTCCGATTCATAAGAGAGGAAGACCGAGAACAGACAAAGTTCCTGGATGTTGTTCTCGCCCCTCCCTATTTACCCAGCATGCATCAGAGCAGATTTGTCCGTTCTTGAGATTGACAGCTGTCCCAGCATGCACTGCGGCAGCAGCAGCTTTCAATGGAGCGCTCCATTGAAAGTTAAAAGTTGTCTTTTCTGTTGTTGTTTAATAAAAGTACGTTTTAAGATAATTCGAGGTGAGAATATTATACTTTAAAGCATCACTATATGGTCCATTTACTGTTGTAAGGCGTAATAAAAAAAAAAGTTGAGAGGACCGCGGCAACAAGCGTAGCTCCGAGGCTAACGGCAGCCGGTCTGTAGCAGCTCTCTCTCTGCATAGCCGTGTGTGAAGTATCGCTGGCTATGATGGCGATTTTTTGTTTTGTTTGGCAAAATGTTCATTTGATTTTTGTTTATCTGACTGTGTTAATTATTATTCCCCCACTAAATAAAAAAGTAATAATTTATTATCTAGAAACTATTAATAACAGGAAGAGAAATACAGTTCTAGACGAGCCGGGCATGTGGTGACATCATCAGTACGCTTCTGTTCCAATTGACCCATATCTATGCTGCGTGCTCCCGTCCTCACCAAGTCCATACTTTCCTGTGTTCTTCTCAAGAACATACTTGGTGAGGACACTGGTCCGTACTCGCTTTCTAGTGAATTGAGAAACGGCCAATGAGTCGATGCAATCAACTGGTTTTCCTTAGATAGAAAACTTTGAATTGATTTGACTGGATGATCTGGTGAACTAGATAGTGCCTTGAGATGAAATGATGTGAATTGGCGCTAGAGAAATAAACTGAATTGAATTGAAAATGGCTTCTTGAACATGTCAATAATTTCCCTGCAGCATCCCAGTGGCCTTTCAAAGGTACCAGATCCTGGTCCAACAGAAACACTTTGGATTGGGGGGTAGCGGTTTTCAGCCAGTACGTCTGCAGTGACTGTAGCCATGTTTCCATCCTAATGTCAGAAAGTTTAACCCAACTTTTAAATTGTCAACAAAAAGATAATCCAAATTAAAGAGGTTTACAACCCATTATTGTGAATTAAGAGGCAATGTGAAACTCAATGTAATTTTAGGTTACGCTTGGTTGTTAAATCAAGTTAGCAAACTATCCTGGACCACAGATCAGTAATAGAACATGGTTTTAATATAGTGTTGTGTAGTTAGGATATAACTACAACTTTATACAACTTTATTCTTGTAATATTAAGACTTTATTTTCTAAAGAATCTGTCAGAGGGAAGAGCTAATCTGTTGTGAGCTAAATGTTTGCTATGATGTAATGTGTTTGATCTCCTCTTCCGTGCAGTCAAAGAACCACCTCAAGCAAGCTTAAAAACGTTTTAGTAAGTCTATTCATATTTTTCTGTTTCAATCCCGCTCATCTAATGCGATACTTCGACACCTAGTATGATACAGCAATGACTGATGCCATACTTCCACACCTAATGCGATGGGTCGACGCCTAATGTGACGCTTCGACGCCTAATCCGACACTTAGACACCTAATCCAACGCCTCGACGGCTAACCCTACGGCTCGACGGCTAACCCGACGGCTCGACCGCTAATCCGACGGCTCGACCGCTAATCCGACGCTTTGATGCCTAATGCAACGCTTTGACCCCTAATGCGACGCTTCAACCCCTAATGGGATACTTCGACATCTTCTGTATCCATTGCGATACTTCGACCTCTTCTGTATTCATTGCGATACTTCGACATATTTGGCATCTAATGCGATACTTCGACATATTTGGCATCTAATGCCATACTTCCACACCTAATGCGGTACGTCGGGGCCTGATGCAATACGTCCAAGCCTAATGTGACGCTTCTATGCCTAATGCGACACCTCGACGCCTAATGCGACGCTTTGACCCCTAATGCGACGCTTCAACCCCTAATGCGACGCTTCGACCCCTAATGCGATACTTCGACCCCTAATGCGATACTTCGACATCTTCTGTATCCATTGCGATACTTCGACATCTTCAGCATCTAATGCGATACTTTGACATATTTGGCATCTAATGCCATACTTCCACGCCTAATGCGGTACGTAGGGGCCTAATGCGATACGTCCACGCCTAATGTGACGCTTCTATGCCTAATGCGACACCTCAACGCCTAATGCGACGCTTTGACGCCTAATGTGACGCGTTGACGCCTCATGGGATACTTCGACGCCTAATGGGATACTTTGACATCTTCTGTATCTATTGCGATACTTCGACATCTTCAGCATCTAATACGATACTTCGACATATTTGGCATCTAAAGCGACGCTTCAATATCTAATCGGATATTTTGACATCTTCGACATCTAATGCGAAACTTGAACACTTAATGAGATATTTCGACACCTAATGCGATATTTCGACATGCACATAAAAAACAACATTCCTGGAAACACATGTGAGGATCAACACCTCTCATGAATGTTTCTGTAAAATTTGAAAAATAAAGGTGGTTCTGTTTTATTTGACGC